TTTCTTTCTTTCTTTTTCTCTTCTCAAAACCCTTTGATCTTTTAAATTTCAATAGTAAAACATTAAAACAAAATATAATTGATACATAGCATATAATAAAATGTATTAACACATACATTAATAAGATGCAGCAATATAAATGATATTATAAAAGGTGCCCGCCTTGTCATTTTGTCGCCTAGGCGGGTGCTTAATCGCCTAGGCAGGTGCCTAGTCGCCTAGAAGGGCGCCTAGTTGCTAAAAGTCAAGGCGTTTGGCCAAGGGCGCCTAGTCAACTATGCTATGCTCTTCACCATTGTTGATTCTATAGTGATTTTTCTACTCTGCCTATGGACATAGGCTATAAGCTGAACCACGTAAATCTGTGTATTTCTCTGTTTACTTCTCTTTATCTGTCTTTCTTTTGGTTGTGTGCCATTCAAATCTGTATTTCTGGGTTTTGCACAATAATACCTTTGCCTAGATGTTTCATCAAGTAGGCAAGGATCTTATCAACGACTACCTAGTGTTGAGTCTATGGTGCATGCATGTACTAACAACACTGACAACATGGGAGATATCTAGACGTGTCATACACAAGTACAATAGGTGGCCCACCAACCTCTGATACCTCCCAACATCCTTTACCAACCTCTGAAGCATTAACTCTGTGGTTCTGATCAATCGATTTATCATAGGCTTGACCCCAATCTTCCCAGTCTCCTCCTATAACAAGTCCAATACATTCTTCCCCTAGGAGATAAAGATCTCATTTTGGACCTTGCCACTTCAGTACCCATAAAAGACCTAAGCTCATTGAAATCCTTTATCTTATACTCCTACTGTAATGACTTCTTAAGGGCATCAATCTCACTTAGATCATTCCCTATAATCACAATGTCATCAACATATATTATTAGAGTTGACATGAGAGATCCTTTCCTTTTCACAACTAGTATATGATTTGACTGGGTCTAAGTGTATCCAGAATGAATCAATTCTCCTTTAAACCTGTCAAACTAGGCTCTGGGAGACTTGAGCCATGTAGTGGCTTTTTTAGTCTGCATACCTTCCCTCTTCCTACATCATAAAACCTGGATGGTAGGCCCATATACATATCCTCCTGTAACTCTCCATTGAGGAAGGCATTTTTCACATTAAGCTTGAAGAGTGCTCAAGAGTAAGTGGCCGCTAGAAACAAAAGAACTCATACTAAACTCATTTTTGCAACTGGGGAAAGGTTTCTAGATAATCTATTCCATATGTCTTTCTATACTCTTTTCAACCAGCCTCATCTTGTACCTTTCTATAATGCCATTAGCCCTAAACTTCATTGTAAACACCCATCTTCATCCCATTGTCTCCTTATCAGTAAGCAAATCAACAATCCCCCATGTCTAATTTTTAATCGATACCTTAATTTCTTCTTGCATAATGGTTTCTACTCAAGTTTAGAAAGAGCCTCATTAACACTCCTGGGTATAGACACAAAATCAAGAGAAGCAAGAAAAGTATGGTTTGAACAAAATACGGTAAGAAAGACAATGTGAGATACAATGGACTGTAGAATAAGTATACTTCCTCTTCCCCTTGTAGAGAGCTATAAGAAGATCATCAGTAGTGCTAGGAGCAAGAGTATCATTAGTAGAGTTAAGAACAATTGTATCATCAATGGGGTTAGGAATACCTGGATCTATGTTAGCTGAACTGAAACCTTAGATGGAGCAATAGGAAGTGGTGTGGGTTCCTAGGTTGGTGCATGAGCTGTGTTTCCTGGAGCATAACCGCATGACAATCAACCCTCCTATATTGGCACATAAAGAACTGTGGAGCAGGACCTAATGGTGCAAGTAAAGGAACAAGAGTAGAAACAGAAAGAGGAATAGCATGCTAACTCTCTCCCCCAAAACACTCCCCATAAGGAGAAACACCATAAAAAGAAGGAGAAACACCAGATCATAACAACAATACTGCTTCTAGTTTTGAGCATACTTGAGATAAACACATGTCTTGGCTTTGGGATCAAACTTGGAGCAGTGGGAACTGTACAAAACAAACACGCCAAAAGACCCTCAAAGGAATGTGAAATATCTCCCCCTTAGGAAAAATAAGACTAAACGGCATTTGAAACCCAAGAACACGAGAAGACATGATTGATCAATAAGACAATAGTAAAAAACTATAAATGGCTTCACCCCAAAAATGAATTGGAGTAGATCCCAAACCATCGGACTACTTGCCACCTTAACAATGTGTCTGTTCTTCCTCTTGCCACTCTATTCTGCTAAGGAGTGTACATAACTTTATGCTCCAATAAGTAAGATGCTTAGTCTTTTTCAAAATACTCCTTTTTTTATCAATAACAATCAGCTTTATTAAGATAGATGGAAGAAATTACAGAT